ATTTTTTTGTTCTGAAATTTTTATATTATTTTATCATATTATATTTTATTATTAGTCAATTCTTATACTCAATGCAGTAAAATTACAATTATTTACATAGAACAATCTAGCACAAGTAAATCTATTGCTAAATAAATATATGCATATGTATATAAATATATATATATTTAACAAAAGTGTATCTAAGCTAAAGAGAGAGCGAGAAAAAAAGAAGAAGAAGATCGAAAGATGGTGGGGATAGAGGAAGGAATAAAAAAAAGAGAATGAGATCGATAAATATATCGAGAGGAAGATAGAGAGAGCAAGTCGAAGAGAGAGCGCGATAAAGAGAAAGAGACAGAGAGTGAGAGAGAGAGAGAGAGTCTGAGTGGTTCTTAGACACCATTGACTAAACAAATATTTTGCATATTTTTTAATGTTCTCATAATTCAATTAAGTGCTGCACAGCTGCATAACAATTGACATTAGTATAATAATTTATAAATCTTTGGCATTTTTAATTTGTTTTTAAAAATCTCGTTGCATTGTTAAATATGAAAAAACCTATTTTTTTATATTGCTGGCTTTTAAGACCTTTATAGACATTCATTAAAAAAAAGTAGAACAATTTATAAATTAGTGTTTATGCAAGGTAAAAGAACTCTAGACGGATGGACAAATTATGGAAAATTTGCAATTTTTTATTGGCCATTTGCTCCACTGCACATTAGAAACTGGAATTGGGGGGCTCGTGATACAATGCTGACGTTTTTGCTTTTGAAATGTGAACGAGTTTGAGTTGAACTTGTTTATTCACCTTAACAACAATATTAATTTGACGATGCTTCTTTGAAATTGTCTCCAAGAGCTAATAATTTTTGGAAGGGGGCTCGGCGGGTACAGTCATAATTCACCGACGTAACTGTTTGCTGGGATTAACTCAAGAGCAAAACTGGACAGCGCGCAGATCGAACAACGCCCACTGGAATTGTATAAAAGCCGTAGGTCGGCCAAGCTGGGGTATCAGTCAACGTTCGTTCTCTACGGTCTTCAGCTGCACCCAAACCAAATCAAGATGTTCAAAATTGTAAGTAGACCAAGGAGCAGCAGGCAACGTTCGCTTATCAATTGTCTTCCAGGTGATGCTTTGCGCCGTCATCGGCCTGGTCGCCGCTGTGCACCACCCAATCGAGCACAAGCCACTGCCGAGACGCCCACTGCCCGTGCCAGTGCCCCACCCAGTGCCCGTTCATCATGGCGACGAGTCTCACGCCGAGACGCTGTCCCGCAAGGATGATGTGCGCGCCGACGGCTTTGACAGCAGCCTGGAGACCAGCAACCACATCGTCCGCTCCGAGAGCGGCGATGTTCACGGCAACATCCACGGCAGCTTCAGCTGGATCTCACCCGAGGGCGAGCACATCGACATCAAGTACGTGGCCGATGAGAACGGCTACCAGCCATCGGGCGCTGCTATTCCCGCCATTCCCGAGCAGATCGCACGCTCCCTTGCCTGGATCGCGGCGCATCCCCATGTGCCCGAGGTCCACAATGTCCATCATCCCAACATCCACCACTAAAGCGATACGAGCTCCCAGAGCCGATTGCATTAGATAGACTTGGAACGTGCAACGGACTAGTCTCAGAAATCTCTTCATAGTCGATAAGTTCTTCACCGCTAATGAAAGTTGTTCACTTAAACTTAAATAATAAATATCTAATTGCAATGAATAGAAAATGAATTGTTTTCTTAATTTCGATATATCAATTTGAGATTTGCAGAGAAATCATTTAGCATGTTGAATAAAATGTGAGCAATTTTAGTTTCACAAAGTTTGCAGGTGTTAAAAACATTTGCTAACAATATTTTATT